TAAGTGTGCAAAAATAAAATAGCAATGAAGTCAGTATTTCCTTGCAATTGCCTTGTTGGCATCCCCGACATCCTGCTCCAAGTCCTGAACTTCATGTCAGTCCTTTGCTTGTTTTACTCCTTTGTCATATAGTATTTATCCCCAGAAACTATAATGCTTAGTTTTTTTTAAAAATTTTTTTCTTTTTTCTTTTAAAGGGAAAAGAACCAAAGCAAATTAACAAACTCACAGACATAAACAAAACAACACAAAAACAACAAAAGCAATACAGAATTTCAGACAAGTGATAGGTAACAATGGTTGTATTATATATTGTTATCTTCAAATAAGTTACTCAGATAAACAAATATAGGCATGCAACATTGATCAAACCCTTAGACGTTAACTGTTCCTTTCAATAAAGCAATAGAAATTAGTAGTACAATTATCTTAGCTATCTTGTGTGTGTGTGTATATATATATATTTTTTTTCCCTTTCTTCTTTCTTTTCTCTTTTCCCTCATCCCAGTCATTGTTTCCTTTTGAGCAGTTTCTTTCCCTTTCACAATATCTATTGTACCTTTCAGATTTGATTTACTCTTCCAGGTTCTTACACTAGGGAGAATGTTTAGTTTTCTGTTATCTTTGAACTTTCTATCAATGATAGCATTACATGTCATATATGCATGTAATTGTAAGTGTCTTGCTATTTGTCTAATTTTTATGACACTCACCCAAATATATGTGTGCACTCCGCAATTCACTTATTTCTTACTGCTAAATTGGAACTTAAATAGTTCTTGGTACTTTCCTAGCTGCTCCCAGAATTTAAAGGAGAGGTTTATTTTGGCTCACATTTTTAGTTTCAGGCCTCGCATGATCTTCTGGAGAAGGAACCTGGCAGAGGGGAGCTGAATACGGCTTTACAGACAGAAGCAGAGAAGAAAGGGAGGGGTTGGTTAGGGAGAGAAACCCGTCCAGGCCACACCCCAGTGACTGCCTCTTCTGACCAGATCCTAACAGCAAGTCAGCTCTAAGCCCCATAATCCAATCCCCTTCCAAAAGCCCTGCCTATGAGTGCATGAGACTCTTGGAGGACATCTAGGTATAAAACACAAATTTGAGCCATTTTTTCATTTTAGTTTATAAATTACACCCTAAACATATAGTTCATCTATTATTATCTTTATAGCAAACTTTACTCTTCAGTAAGCTTCCTTTGATTATTCCCTTTTCTCAAAATATCTTGGATCATCTGAGAAAAGGTTCAATATTCCACTTGTTTCCCAGAGTGGTTGTTATATCAGGGTTATTATATCAAAGTATCAGAAACAAACTGTGTTGGTTACTTTTCTTGTTGTTAAGACAAAATACCCGACACTCAAGGTTTAAAAGGGGAAAGGTTTATTTGGCCCACAGTTTGTAGAGGGTTCAGTCCGTAATTGGCTGGCTCCAAGGCAAGGTGGCTCACGGCAGAGGGGGCAGCCATTCATGGCGGCTGGGGCTGTGGAAGACAGCAAAGCAACAAGAGCAAAAGGGCAAAACAAGCCTCTTCCTGCCCCTTTTATCTTATCCACACTGTGAGGATTAGAGCAGTGCCAATCAAATCAGTGGACTGACCCAGCAATCATCCACCCTTAATCCTAGCATCCTTAATCCCAGCATTGCACTGTGAATCAATCACAGACTCTAGCTTCAGCTGCCTCCAAAAAAGGCTACCTGAAACTGTATGAGGCTTTGGGGGAACATCTATACCCAAACCATAACGCACACTTATCACAACTGTTCATGGATTGAGTTTGGATAGTAATTAATTCTGTGCCAGAAAGGTCCGAGAGTGTGGCACTTGATATACTGTGTGGTGGGGGCTTCTTATGGTTGTGTCAGTTGCTGTCAGCCGCAGTGTTTTCTAAACTTGAAAAGCCTACTGAAATAGTTCTCTACCTCCTGGTGAACAGTAAGGAACACAGCTTTCACAGTTTCATTATTTCTGTTGAAAAATAAAACACCTTGACTCATGGATCAGTGAATGTTTGGGGGGAGACAATATGAATACGAACCAGTGGGGGGTGGGCTCAGTCTTCTGCCTATTAGAGGGATTAGAAAGGGGTCTTTCGCTCAAGCCTTGGCTGATGACTTTGAGAAAGCTGATCCACCTGTGAAATGAAATTTGGGTTGCTTTGGAGTTCACATCTTGCCAGAGATTGCTCCAGACGCTGGACATGGCATTACAGGACTTAGGATTTTGGACTTCTGTTAGTCTGTTCTTTTCTATCCCCCTATCTGTAGGATAGAAATGTTTATCATTGGAAGGAAACGTGTGCCATTGTATGTTGGAAGTGTTTAACTTTCTTTTCATGTGTACAGGGGCTCACAGATCAGAGGTTCTCTTAAATCTCAGAGGAGACTTTGGGCTTGGACTTTTCAGCAAGGCTGAAAACTATTAGGACTCAGACTAAATCTCTTGTACATAAAGGAATGCTCATGAGTCTTGACGGGTCAGGAGCAGAACGTTAAGGCTTGTATCTAGATGTTCCCCTAGAGCCTCATGGGGCGGTCACGGTTTGAATTTCTGGAGATGGCTGGATCTAGGCTATATGATGCTGTCATTGATTCAGGGTAGAGTTAAGTGTGTCTCATTCTGTGTGTGAGTGCTACCTGCCCTAAGGGCAGCTTGCCTGGATAGAATATAAAAGATAAAGAGCTGCTCTTTTCTGTTGGCTTCAGCTGCTTCTTCTTTGCTATTACGTTGCTGTGCTGTCTCCTGCCTGCTTGGCGGTGGCCCTTTGCCATGCTACCGTGACTTGGAGCCAGCCAACTATAAACTAAAACCTTTACATCTGTGAGCCAAAATGAAACTTTTCTCCTTAAAACAAATTGAGCTGGTCAGTGAGTTATCTATCAGGTAGGTCTAGTGTTTCCCAGCTCTGGGCACCAGACTTGGACGGGGTGGGGGAGGTCTGGAGGGGAGAGGGCAGTGGGCTCTAGCCAGGCCTCAGTTGTTAAGAGTGGCCCCTTGATTTCCACTCCAGCAAATTTGAAAGTGGCCAAAGCTGTGCAACAAGGGAGACCTCTGCTTTCTCAAACCTCAAATGGATAAAAATGGAATACTGTCTATTTATTTATTTAGAAGTATAAATGTATTGTAAAAGGTATGTTCTAGTGTCTGAGTGCACATGAGATTCTACCAAAGTCCAACTATGCCCAGGGGTCCTCATAGTTGGCCTCATGTGAGGTCCCAGACATAGGAGCCAGGAATAATTGAATAGGAAATTGCCTGGCCAACCCTGATTAGGAACAGTTGGTTAAATACACAATTATGTAAAATGTTATACTCTCCCAGAATACATCACCTAACCTGTTATATCTTCGTTCATCACCTGTAAAATAAGGAGACATACCTCTCTCTCTTTATATGCCAGAAATGCTATTTTTATAAATCAAACAATGTTTGCAAAAACACAGATGATAAAATAATACTAGACAAATTTGGGAAAAATTCTAGTTTGTCTTTTCTGTGGTTTTGAGTCACTAAGGAACAAGAATAAAACTATCAAGCAGAAGGGCACGGCTAGGTAAAACACTGAACACGAGTGCCCATAAAATAGCTATCTTTGATGACAGAACATCAATAATGCCACTCAGAAGTGTTAGGAATATAGCAATACCTTAGTTTCTTTCTCTGCATGACCCAACACACTCTGAAATGCAAATATTTTGCATGGCCCTCAATGGATTTGTCCAGTGAAATGACTCACAGAAGAGCAAATTAGTAGCAGCTGACAGAAAAACCAAGCAAAGACTTAATCTATAGTTTATCAACTGATGGCCTGAGAATAAAATTGGGATTGGAGGTATATATTTTTTGAGCCTCACAACTTTGGCTGGCACTGTGTCAGAAAACTTTTGGAATCGTCAACATACACTGGAGATTTCACACGGAAACAACTGGATGTAGCCAAGTACTGTCTCCTTCAGATAGAACTGTACTTTTTCAGTTTTCACAGTCCATACCATTCTCTGTCGTCCTCTCTTGGTTCTCAAGTACAGTGTCTAACTGGTTACCTGAGTGTGTGAACTTTCTAGTCGTTCTAATTTGTAAACCCTGCCAAAGAACCGGGGTGGGGGGGCAGCTTTTGTGGTCTGGGATTCTGAAATGGAGTCTTTATGTCTTAAGAAAATGGGGGAAAAAAGCTAGTTCAATGCATCAGAGGCAAATTCTTTTTCATTTAATGAAGATATTCTTCATAGATCTCACTAACAGTCTTCTTTGTTTTGAATTGCATTCTACTTGAATGCACTTTCATTTAAATAAAAATGGGTGTATTAGGTAACTCTGGTAACTACCAAAACTCTCAGTATAATAAGGACACCATCCACTGTTCCACGGAAATGCAGCAACAACTAACTGCCCACTGAACTCTGCAACAGGAAGCAGAATACAACTAGTGAAAATGTTAACTGAAAATATCAAGGACTTTGCTTGCTCCTACCACCTCCTACGTATGTGGGGTACAGTCAAGGTAGGGGCAACGTGGGCTTTGGAAAGAGGCATCAGCAGAGTGCCACGGTTCCCAGCACAGTCCCTAGATACCTGAGAAAAGGCGCCTTAGTGAAACAGACTGTATAGAGTGAGCAGGACACGTCAGGGCAGTGCTGGGGTCAGTGACACATACAGAACTTCCCAGCGCTTGCCTTGGTTTGCTCCAACCAGAGCTGAAATTTGACCATCATTTGATTGTTTCCAACAAATTGCATTGGCATCTGCAGGGTCCCTTCTGACTATTGTGTATGTCATCTCAAGAAATTTAAGTCTCGTCCTGGAAGGCGGTTCCTCGGTGAGCCCTACAACCAGACAGTAAGTTTGACTTGCTCTACACAGTTGACGCCAAATATGTATCACTGCCATCACGGGACTGTGTCAGCCTGAACCAATACTCACAAGAGAGAGCTTGATTCTCTCTGTTCCCCTAGTAAGAAAACGGATCCCCACCCCTTCAAAAAATGAATGTAACACAAAATTGATTTGAGTATTTTATTTATAAATGTACATTTGCTATAAAAGCTGTGCATTTTAGATAACTTTTTTTTAACTATTTCTCAGAGGCATTTTAGAATAAATATTGTAAATGAAAATTAGTGTAACTGATATAGAACATCGGCCCACCCAGGACAGTAACATCTTTTGGACGGACTCACATATGAGGTGGATCATTTCAGTTTGTTAAATCTTACGCTGTGTATAGATAACTAGAATATGTATTGCATTAATAACACTACATAGAAAGAAGGAAGCAACATCATGAAAGTTTGCTAGTGAAAAACAAAGAGTTACCCATTTTTTTTCTTAGGAAACAAAAGAGACTATCTTTTGAAGTATAAGGGCAAAAATCAGATATACTTCCTCAGGAACAATAAATCACCCACTTGCCTCGTCTGGTTTTTAAACAAACACATTTGCATTATAGCTCCACAGAGCACAGCATTTTATTTTCCTGGGATCTCAAAGATTATTTGAAAGGAAATAGATCATACTCATTATGCTACACTGGAAAAAACAAGATCTAGTCTGGCTAAGCTGCCATGTAACCGACTCTAAATGAAATATAAATCAAATAGAAATAGAAACAGTTGGCAATTAGAATTTAGAAAATGTTGGAGATTATTCTGTGCTGGTGACTAGTGTTCATTATGGGAAAGCATGTTTTGCAGTTGGAGAATGCAGCTTTATTTTTCTTGACTTGTACAATGAGTCTTACTAAGAAATATGTATAAATGAATGTGAAACCGGAAGAGAATGTGCAATATTCACATAATCCTCACATAATGGATGGAATTCCACATGTAAAAAGGACTCTATAAAAATTGGTTATGAATGACCGTATTGTACATGTTTTGTGCATCATTTGTGGTAAAGTACTTTGCTAATATCATGCAAAGTGTAAACATCCACATTATCAAAATAGTTAATAAAACATGCAGGCGGCTAATCAAAATATTGGACTTGATCTGTACATTTTTAAAATTGTTTTAATATTTCCTTTTTCATTTTTTTCCCCTGTAAAACAGGAAACACTTCCATGAGAAGTCGTGGGAATTTGGAAGTGACTTCACCTTGTCAATGCACCACATCCATAATTCATTGCTGACTATGTGCAACAGCTTTGCATTTTCTAAGGCACAATTTTCGATGAAATGATGTGTAAATTTCAATCCAATAACAGCTCATCCAAATGACAAAGTGGTCAAACACCTCCAGTGGTGAGGAAATTTCTGCGCCTACATGAACCCACATGCAAAGGACCCTCTAGCATGGAAATAAATAATTGCTAGCCATACTCAATAAGACACAGAAAAAAATACTGCTTACATAAAGAAACACATCTACTTGATATCTTCTTATGACTACATTAACCTACTAGGAGTATATCCATAGTCTACATTCACAAAATGTCATCTTCACTTATTTGCCATCATTTTAAGGCAGAATAAATAGTCCCCCTGTCCCCAGTCTTGAAGAAAACAGCCTGGAGATGCAAACTGTGATGGATGTTAGTCACTTGATTTCTTTCTCGTCCAGCTGAAACTTATCATACAGGGTAGAAAATAAGTCAAGTCTCCACAAAAGTTCCTTTCTAAATTCCACGAGCAAAATCCAGAATTCTTTATAGTAGTGAAGGTGATGTAGGAAAACGAAGGTACATATGCATCCATTAGAGTAGGCAGGGCACAAGCTGAGCTGCAGCTTCTTGCTGGTCACATCCCAGTGGCTTACACATCGTGTCATCTGGATTCTCTTAAAATGAACTTTCTCTTTGGATACCTGCACATGTGGCCCCCAAAGGTAAGCCGTGGTCACATCTAAGGACAGATTTATCTCAATGCCTCACATTCCACACACCTGGTATGAGCCCCTTCTTGAAGATTCCTAAGCTAGTGCTTGGAGAGAAGCAGGCCACCGGGGCCTCAAGGCTACCACCGACCTGTCACTCTTTGAAGATTAAACTTCCTCATAGATTTTGGTAAATAAGTTTGGAGATGATCACTGAAATATTTCCCGCTGGTTTCTTCCTACCCTTGGGCAATGTCTCCAAGCGTAAGTCTAGCTGCTATTGCAAGGGTTCTCTGTGGTTGATGAACCAGCCTATATTAATGACATCACTTCCAAGGTACACAAAATCTAATACTAACAGTTCAATAATTTATTGATATAACTTCTGCCTCAAAAGGTAAGTAACACAAATGTTTTCAGGATTACAGTATATATTATCAGACTAGTGTCTCTGCATTAAAAACAAGTTATAGCTCAGAGATAGAACTCACTATGATGTTTAGTTTTCTGAAATGCGTATGCTCCTGTCTTAGAAGATCACTAAAATTGGCATGTCTTGCACTTTCTGCAGCTCAATTCTGTAAACATAAAGTGTTTAATTTCTACAAATACTAAAACACAACAAATTTATTGCATCCTTTAGCTACTTCCCAAAGAAGAGAATAACACATGTTAAACTGTAAGCCTGTTTGACCACATTAAAACCACTTTTTGAACTATTCAGGGTCATTACAATTCAATATTCTTTTGTATACACTGTGCAAATGCAAAAAAAAAAAAAAAAACCCACAAAAAATAACAACAAAAAAACCTCAGAAAAACACAAACACTGCTACAAAAGAACAGACACCACCTTTCAGAAGAGCCTTTCAGAAATTAGATGAATGCTGAGTAGCCCCTGAACTTGGGATTTTGTTAAGCAGTTGCCAGGGGACACCCTCAATAAAGAAATGGTCAGTGATCTGAAAGCTTGAAAACCACATCACAATGTTGTAGGTTGGCCAGCACCTATAAGAAAGAAAGAACAACTGTGGTTTGTGTGCACTTCTTGCTTCAGAGGTTTTTAAACTTCCCAAATAAGCAATTACCTTTGCAGATTCTCTTCCCCTCAGAAGGAAAACCTGTACCATTCTGTTCCTTACAACACTGTGTCAGGACACGCAGTGCTAACATCACCTCTGTTAGCAACGCAGACCACTGAGACCCATCTCAGACCCCACTTAGCAATGTGCACTGGTATACAGATGCTATAAAGTTTGCTTCAAGCCTCTGGGTTTTCTGCGAACCACATAATCTCCCCAACAAGCTTTCTACTTTATCTTCTGGGGCCGAGAAGCAAAAAACCAATTTTTTCTCTCTCTAGTTTTTTTTTTTTTTTTTTCTCTAGGTTTTGGTTTCTGTAAGAATAAATGTATTGAAACCAGAGGAACTAGACATATGATCTAGAAATGGCATTGCTATATTTATCAAGTAAAAATACAGGACACCCAGTAAAATTTGAGTTTCAGATAAACACATACTTTTTAAGTCTAAGTATAGCCCACGTAACAGCTAGGACACAGTTGTACTAAATCCACAGCATGTAACGTTTAGGACAAACACATGGATTATCTGAAATTCAAGTTAAATTCATTGTCTACCTGACAGTCAAATGAAAAAGTTAATTGGGCATTATATGAAAACAAATGGATGATCTGCAGTTCAAGTTTAAAAATTCATTGTTTGCCTGAAATTCAAATAAAAAAGTTAATTGGGCATCTTGTATTTTATTTGGCAAGCTTATTTGGAAAGGATGAGGTTCCACAGTTCCTGCTGGAATCTTCCCAAGGTTCCCCCTTCATTTTAGGTACTAGAGTTGTGATGAGACAATCACAACATTCGAAGAGACCCTGGGGAGTTTGCGTTAAACGCATTTCACTAGAGTGAATGACGGAATGGAACACCATGTACAAAGGCGCAGCCATCCAGCACCCAGGCACAAATGGTACAAGTTAAACATGTGACAGCTGAATTGTGACAGGTAATTTGTTTTGCACTTCCATTCCCATTTACATACGAACTTAAAAACTGTTTACATTGCTTTTAGGAACTGCATTTTAATATGCTGTTATGCTATTTTTCCCTCCAAGAGAAAAATTTCATTTAAATGTGACTAGTTACTTGAAGGAAACGGATTATATATTCAGGTTTTATTATTCCACACAATGAAATTATTTTGTTTCACTTAGAATGTCTATGATGTAAACCACCTTTCACATCTATCCATCTAGCCTCTGTTTAATTTAGATCAAAGTAAAATTAAAGAAAGAAGAAAAGAAATAAAAATGATTTTAATTATTTCTTCTTATTCTCTTACTGCATCTGAGATATATTCAAACAATTCAAGTATATTTATAATTCTTTAGTGAAATTATTAAACCCTCCACCTAGTCATTTCTAAGATATACAGTATTTATTTCTTAGGTCACTAAGAAGGAAAGCAGTTCTTTTCTCTGGCATGTGTTGACTTAACTAAAATCAGCCTAAAATGATATCAACATTTACCTAGAAAATAAACATAGGAAGGTTAGAAAGTTTTTGGAAAAAATAATTGGCAAGAAAGTAGCCATTATCAAAACAGATTATGAAGATATAATCATTAAAACCATTTAGCAAGGGAAAATAAATAGGTTAATAAGATATAATAAAATATCCACAAATGGACTGAAATATATACAGGGGCTTAGTTTATGAGAAAGTTAATATTTCAAATTAGTGAGATTAAAAAGGATTATTTATTAAGTGTTATTCACATCATTAGTTACCTGGAAAATATACTGTTTGCTATCTCCTTAATTTTTGTCCTACAATACATTCCTGATGGTCTCCCACTTACATGTAAAAAAGAAAAAAATTCTTAGCCAAATTCTCAGATAAGTTTTTTGAACCTTTGGAATAGAGTGTTTTTCTGAGTAAGAACACAAAACCCAGAATCCAAAAAGGGAAAAATTATGTATTTAGTTACACAATGAAAAAAAATTTTATGTGAAAATAAATCTCAAAGTGGGAAGCCAATGACAGACAATTGCAACCTACAGCAAACCTAACTGGAGTTGTAAGGAAAGTTTCTGTATTTCGCAAAGGACTCAAATAGGTTGCTAACAGAAGAATGGACAAAGGATTGAGAAGCTCTTTATAGAAAAAAGTATAAGTGGCAAATAAACACATGAAAAGATGTTCAAGCTCACAACTAAAGAGATGCAGTTCAAAGCAACGAGGCTTCTCCCCACTCAGTAGAGCGGACTTTTTTTAGTGTGGGGAATACAGGTGCTCTACCACTCGACACTGGCCCAGAGTGGACATTTTTAACGTATGATGGTATCCAGAGCCACCACTGGTATAGAGGAAGAAAGAAGCTCTCACACACTCTGCAGGGAAGATGTATTTTCTGAACAATGATAGGAAGAATGTCTGAAAAATTAAAAAGCACACGCCTCTTAATTCAGTTTTGCTACTGCTCAGAATGTGTTCTTTGGAAGTGTTTTCAGATGTTCAGCAAGATGTATTCAAAGGTGTGCACTGCAGCATTTAACAATATTAAAACCGTAAATAAACCAAAGTGTCCCTTCACTGAGAATTGGTTTTAAGTAAAGGCAAGCTCACACAATGGGATTGTAGGTGGCTATTAAAAAGCCATTCAAGGGCTGGGGATTTAGCTCAGTGGCACAGCGCCTGCCTGGTAAGCGCGAGGTCGTTAGTTTGATTCCCGGTACTGGAAAAAAACCAAAAAAAAAAAAGACAAAAAGCCATTGAAAAGAATGAAGAAAAAATACACGGTAAATGGAAAAACTGAAAAGATTTGCTATTAAATCAAAAACAACAGCAACAGCAACTAAGTGCAGAAGCCCACGACTACGTGACTATCATCTGTGTGAAGTAAAATCCAACACATATACAGGTAGACACACCATGCACATATGTTTCTCTGTGTGTGCAAATGTGTACATATACAAACACTCATTCTGTCCTGCATACCTGTGTTTATAACAGCATAATTCATAAAAGCTAAATCTTGAAGCAGCTTATATGTCCATTAACAGATGACTGTATAAAAAAAATGTGGTATTTATATAACTGGAGTACTACTTTGCCCTAAAGATAAACTGCAGTCATTTGTAGGAAATGGATGCACCTTGAGACCCTAATGTTAAGTGAAATAAATCAGACACACACATGGTTTCTCCTATATGAGAAGCCCAAGGTACAAATAGAGTAATAGGTATTAGGAAGTAGGGAGATAGATCTTTCTCAGAGGGTAGGGGGACTAAGGGATGGAAGGAGGAGGGAGGAAGAGCAGGATGAAAAAAGAATGGAGAGGTGTTATGTGTGTGGCCAACTCCCCACAAGGAATATAATTGTTACGTACTGAAACATTTAGTAACAAAAACAACTGGCTTAAGTTAAAAAAATTATTAGAAAGTGTTAACAGGGGATTTTCATTTTTCATTGGGCATGTGTCTGAACAATTTCAATTCTTCTAACTTTATGCCATTTATAACTTTTATCTACGTATTCTTTTGGATATCTAGGTAGAGAGATAATGGGGCCTTTTTACTTTCTTCTTAGCGTTTGTAAAATTATCTTAATAAAACATCTAAAATTCCTAATAAAACATGTTTGAAATATAAAATAAACAAGTAGCCGTCTGTAGACTTCCAAATCACTTTCTTAGTTTTCATCTTGTTACAGGAACTCCACGGTTCTTGTCTTTTTTTTTTTGTTTTGTTTTGTTTTGTTTTGTTTTGGTTTGGTTTTTCTCCGGTACCAGGAACCGAACTCACGACCTTGCGCTTGCCAGGCAGGCGCTTTTGCCGCTGAGCTAAATCCCCAGCCCCGGTTCTTGTCTTTAGATTTCAAATTAAAAACAGGTAATGCCCTTTAAATTTGTATGCCTAAGAGAAAAGTTCCTGGCTTAGATCCAAAAAAACCAAAACAAAACAAAACAAAACCTAATTTCCAAAAGAAATGACAGTGAATTACTCAACTTTGCAATTAAAAAAAAAAAGAATATGGAAAACGGGCCACTGTCACCCAGGGGCGGGTTCGGGTTTGCCCCTGCACCCTTCAAGGGCTTTAGGTTATGAAAGGGGGTCCGATCCACACCACTTTCACATCTTCCTTTAGTCTTTCAACGTAACAGCGCCCTCTTCTGGTTCCCTGATTTACATTTCCCCCGCGCACTGAAGTGGACAAAAACTATACTTTACAGAGCATGGAAAAATTCACTTTGAAACCTGGGAGAAAAGTGTTCAGTTTTTCTTCCTAGTGTATAAAAACAAAGCAAAGAAAGTCTAGCTTGAAGTGTACATCTATATTACATAAGGCACATGTACGTGTGCATCTAGGTCTGTATGAATGTATGGTATACTTTTCCATCATTTTTAATATATATAAAACATATGACATAAAATTAGTCATATATATAATGCATGATGTAAATAGTTCTGTTTGATGGCAGTGGCTCTAAATTGAAATGGTTCTGACAAAGTCAAATGTTTACTGTAAGCTGGGTGTGGTGGCACCTGCCTGTAGTATCAGCCCTCTGCAAGCATGCAGGAGGAGGATTGTAAGTTTTAGCTCAGCCTGGGCAATTTAGTAACAATTTACTATCTATTTTCATTCTTTACGTTTTCAGTCTCATAGCTTTAGCGGCCATGTAAAAAGGCAATGACAACGTTGTTTCACTTACTTTGAGAAATAATAAAACCTGCCTGAATTTCAAACCCCATTTCTTCACTCTAATTTCCTTTGAAGTGTTTCTGCCTGGTGAATCTGCGTGGAAAGATCTCCTGGTGTCAGGCGAGCCGCCAGGACTGACAGAGACCCAGGAAGAGCAAGCCATTGGCTATTTTCAGAACTTCTAGAAAAGTAGCTGGGCAACAGCACCCCCTGGTGTCCCCAAAAGGAATACAAACCTTGGACATTTGACCCATCTAGAATGTCAGAGAGCAGGTTGCTCAAGGGAACTCCAGGACAGCAAATATTTGTTAAGCTCTGACTGTGCGCAAGGTATTCGGAGGGGGCGGGGGAGTCCACATCAGTGTGTCTCTCAAGGAACTTTCAATTTGGTTGGGAACAGAAGCATATTTCAAAATGAAACCCTGGAATACAGGGCATGGTGACACCGAGAAGCCGGTGCTCAGTTTGATAAATAGTGGGGAGTCACTCTCCACACTGAGTCACCTAAAAAAGTGCTGGTTTTCCGAAGACATGCTTGACCAAAGAACAGTGTTTCAGGTCTTAAGCCTTTCTTCCGTCTCAGCAGGACCAGCCTAGGCAGTTGCTTGAATTTGGTCTTCAGTTTTTACCTTCTCATGTGTTTATGCTCCTCTGGATAAATGGAATTTACCCACATCACCAGTAACTTCCAGTGAGAAACAAGTGGTAAATAGGAGGTTATCTTATTAAGTCTTCTACTTTTATGCTAAGAATCCTTCCTGTCAGGGTAGGGAACTCAACTGACAGGGAAAAATACATGAATTCCTAAATGCGATCCTATGCACACAGGAGCCTATAGTCACTGCTCTCGGGGTATTCTCCCCGTACTTACTCCGGGATCGCATGTAGCAATCATTGCAGTTTAGAAGACCATTTCGAATCCTGACATCCGTGCCACTCACGGCATCTCCAAGCTGTCCTTTACAAATTCCACACTGAAGGGAAAAAGAAGAGTGGTTACAGGATGCATAAGGAATTGCTTCTCCATCCTGCTTAGTTACTATTCATGCTAAGGACACAATAATCACTTCTACAATCTCCACACCGCTAAGCGTCTATTATGCGTTAGATGCCATACTAAAAGTCAGCTTACAGCAAAAGTGAAAATACTTTGAGCATTTTATCTTAACTCATTGTATTTTACAGAGAAGGACACAAGTTCAGAGAGGTTAGTGAATTTGCCCCAAGGCTGTGAAGGTAGTAAGGATAGTAAAACCCCATCCTTCTAAATTTTATCATACACTGTTTCTCAATCAAGATAGCAGAACCATTTTACACAGACTAAACCCTAGTGGTTTTAAACAAGCACACAGCCAATAGATCATTAATTTCAACTTGACTATCAATAATTTTTAAAGGCTTTCTAGCCGTGTTGGTAGGTTTCACCAGCTAATAGTTACTAGGAAAAGTGACTTCATTTTACATTTCCGCATTAAAGGCAATGATAGGGGCTGGGGATTTAGCTCAGCAGCACAGCGCCTGCCTGGCAAGCGCAAGGTCATGAGTTCGGTTCCCGGTACCGGAAAAAAAAACAAAAAAACAAAAAAAAACAAAAAATAAAGGCAATGATACCCAACATAACAAATTCTTTGGGGATGGAACTCCTTTTAGCCATATGGCCAGAGTATAGAAGAAACAGTGGGAGTTGCTCTGCTGTTCGTATCAGAGAGGTTGGCATTTGGAGTCGGTCCAGTGGCCAGTCCTTCCAGGGGATCAGGACCAGCAACTGATTCATGCTCTGTGGTCACCTGCGGCAGAGGGGTGTGTTTTATCTGTGGTGTCCTACTTTCATGCGGTTACTGGTATTTTTAAATTAATAATTTTGGGTTAACTTCACTAATTATCTCTTAATTCATAGGCAAAGTGTGAGTTATTTTAAACCCACACTAGTTTAATTTATAACTAAGGAAACTACTCCCAAGAAGTAGGACAAACAAAATTCAAGAAAGAAAAAGAAAGAATATCAGCATTATGCAGAGAAAGAAATAACTGCTTTTTAGAGATAGAAGACTTGGCTTCTAAAGTTATTTATTAATTTGAAATGTGTCCACCAGTGGAAAAAAAGTACAGGACACGCTGAAGGAGTTCAACTTTAAATTGTATAACAGATCACTGCAACTGGTTAGCTCACTTATTTATTGGCAGGAGATCTGTTTCAGTTTATTATTAATTCATTCATTTACAAATATTTATTGATGCTCACTTGGCTAGGTACAGAGGAAACAGTGGGGAGCAAGACAGACACTGTTCCTGCCTTTACGGAGTTTATAGTTTATTCGAGAAGCTGATAATGAAATAATACAATGATGAGCGATAATGACCACGAATAGCTCGAAAACAAAGACAACTGACTTAGTCTAGGCAGGTAAGGCAGCTTCCAGAAAGAGTGATATTCAAACTGAGATTACAAACGTACCCATTCTGAGAATGACAATGTTGTAACTAGATATACCCGTTCACTTAGGTCAAAAACAAAAACCCTTTGGCATGAAACCACAAGAGTTTAAGAAATAGTAAATATGTTAAATTTCAAATAAATCCCCACAGCTGTAAAAGATTTGGAAATATCATTCTTCTGTGTCCTCCCCTGTTTCCTGCTAGAGCACAGGCTCTTCGGCAGCCAAAGTGATTCGGTAAAGACGAAGTGCAGAAATCTGTTGTGCTTTTTAAACTGCACATCCCAAAAGGTTTCAGGATAGAAGCGCTTTGTACTGAAGGATGGAGTCCACCCACGTGTCTATACCACTTGGGGAAGAGGCCCACGTGAAAGGCCTTTGGGATTTCCAGAAGGCCTTTCTCAACACAGAATGAGGCAGAAACTAACGAACAAATCCCTAAAACACAAAACACCACGAAATTCCACTGAGAAGAGTGCTAATTCCATACCCTGAAACACTGGATGTGAAAGTAGAGATTGAGTGTCTCGATGATCATCGCAGCTCCTTTCCCCAGCGGAAGCCCACAGGAAGAGCACAGTTTCTTCCCGCTTATAGACCTAGGGTGACAAATACATGCAAGAATACACATTTCAGGCTAGAGTCACTGGCCAAAAATGCAAGTATGTAACATCATGCAAAAATGGAAACATGGATTTTTAAAATACTTGTAGCATGAATAAAATGAGAATTACTAAACTGACAATGAATAGGAAATTAAGTATTGGCTCTAATAAATTCTGGATAGTGGATGCTAGCTTGAATACAATTGCTTCTATTGCTGTATTTACTCTAGTATGTGTGTATGTGTGTAAGATTTTTGTTCCACTAAGTTTATGTGGTAGTCTATTCAGATACCTTGGGATGATTCAATGTATTTATCCTATGCTCTCATAAATCTTAAAAGATAATGACGTTTAGCTTTACTACGCTTCCAATGTTGCTTTAACATTTTCCATAAATGGTTCATTACCCTTCAAGGGCACTTCTTTTTATCTATTATGAAAAAAGTGATTAAAAATATAGAGTCAACTGTGCCATAATAGAAGAGCAAGGCAAAGGGCCCTGAGACACAGATCTACTCTGTGTACTGTTACCACATTCTGTGATCTGCTTTGAAAAACGCACCTCATGTTTCCCTTCTACCTGTAGAATGAGAGGAGTGGGCTAGGTTACTTCTGCTACTTCCTCCAGTGCAAACACTGAACATAATTCAGACATTTGCCATCTCTCTAAATTGCAAATCACTGGAGGGCAGGGCTGTCTCCACCTCCTCTTGGGAACTCCGCAGCTCTCAGGTAGTGCCTACCAACAGTCAGAACCAAATGCAGCAGACCAGTACCAGGGAAGAGGACACGGTCAACAAGCCATGTGAAACTGGACAGCCCTCCACGGGGAGCCTTCCTACAGCTAAGTTCAGACTGTAGTGTCTGTGATCTGAAAAGTCTTTGGAATTACATAAAGAATTAAAAAATATGCAGTGTCATTTGAAAGTCAAGGTGGTACAGAAGGACAGAGGACACAGAAAGAAATACCATAGAAAAGAGCAAGATTTGTCCTGATGAAAACCTATTTATTAGGATTTCCCTCTTATCTAGCAGATAAATGAAATTTCTACATCAACTGAAACCTCTGAGCACTCAGTAATTTGTCACTCCAGTGAATGGAAATCCAGGCAGCTTTTAAGAATATCATGGGCCTAATTAATGTCCAGAAGCAATCATTAAGAGAGCCAGAGTAGGTTACAGAGAAGGTGGAGTTTGGCTTCCCAGCTTCTGCCTGGCTCTCTGGAAGAGCCATCAACCCACCCTGCCTAGAAGGCTGAGCTGCCACAGAGGGACAGGCGCCGCCGGAGGAGCCCAGCAGCTGTCTGCTGGATCTTATTATTAGATTGCAGCTTCCACACAATGTAATTAAAGTCTTGCGGTCACAGCACGCCAACGTCACACACTCGATTTTTTCTATCACAAGCAGATGAATCTGCAGGCAAATGGGGGATGTTTTCCTTCTTGCTGCCTCTGTGTATGCGAGAAGGGAGGTGGACGGCAGATCCCCCCGAATCGCTCGGCAAGCACCAGTTCAGCTGGAGTGATGCTTGCCAAGCCTTGGGAAGGCTCGCTAACCTCTTGTACCTGTTTGGTGACTGGCCAGGAGGGGTAGGAGAACAGGGGGACAAGGGCCCAGCCTGGAAGTTCTCTCGAGGGCTTTTCCTGTAACATGGTAAATTAGGACAAGTCAACAGAGGCCCAAAATTCTAAAAGAATAGACATTTTCCACTTAAAAAAAAAAAATCCCAAAATAAAACACCTCCTTGGCAACCAGAGACCACAGAGTCTTCTAGTGGTAACTTTTTTTGAAAAGAAAATAGTAATTCTGCCTAGCAAGGATTATACATGCATTGGCTACATAAAATCAGAATGAGGCTGGCATGCTTGCACTGCTGAACAGAAACACCAGAATAAATTTCTAATCTTTCTTTCAGTTTAATTCTTCTTTAGTTAAAATTGAGGGTTTTTTTTTTTTTTGGTACCGGGAATCAAACTCAGGACCTTGCACTTGCCAGACAGGTACTGTGCCACTGAGCTATATCTCCAGCCATAGGGTTTTCTCTTAAAGCTGTTCACCAAACTGGTTTTACATGAGGAGATGGATATAGAAATTATGAACGTGGTTGGAGGGAGAAATGAGTGAATATCTAGGGGAACACCCAGGAACACAGGGCGGAACAGGAGGCACTTTCAGCACAGTGGTTTCCACCTTGGGTTCATGTGATGAAGGGTGATATTCAAAATATTTAGCAACCACTACGCCAAGGGCTGGCAGTGACAAACACGAGCTGTCCCCAACCAGAGGCTGCCTCTGACGTGGTGCAGACGCTGTGGGCTGCACAGGAGCTCTGTATGTCATATGGCTGTCACTTCTGGGTTCTGGGTTTTAAAAGTTAACTTCATTTGTAAAGGGAGAGGTAGGACACAGAAAAGAACAAGGAAAAGAAAAATACCAAACACAGAAGAGAATAAAGCTTGAGTTCATCTACCTTCTGACTCTGTTAACTCCTTGAAGCCCCTCACCACCCCAAACTCCCCTTCAGGCAGAGAATTTCTTCTCCAAAACATCAGGTTTTCATCCAATACCCTCACGTCTTGAAAAACAGCTAAGAATCACGACAGTTAGAAACAATAGCAATGGCATCTCTGTGAGCTCCTGTTGCCTCTGGTGTCTATTTAGAAATGAAACTGATAGACAGAAAAGAGGAACACGGTCCAAACGCTATACGGAGGAAAAGGAAAACCTAACAAGTAACTGAACACTCTTCTCTTACCACACAGTTACCATCATCAGCTCTATAGCACAATATAGTACTTAATTATGTGCCAGGCGTACAACTTTGTGGAGTGGGTATTATTATCATTCTCATTTCATAAACAAGGAAACTAAGGCAGAGAAAAATTAAGTAGCTTGCTCAAGGTCCAAAGTAGTGTTATGGTCTGTGTCTAGATGTCCCCTCAAAGCTTCATGTGGCCATAGGGGTTTTTTTGAAGGTTGCTGAATCTAGAGTGTGTGATTGACTCATAGAGCAATGCCAGGATTGAGGGTGCTGGGGTTAAGGGTGGGTGATTGCTGATCAGTCCACTGACTGGACTGGCACCGCCCTAGTCCCAGTAGACTGGATACAATATAAAGGACAGAAAGAGGCTTGTCTAGCTGTCTTCCACCGCCGTGAACTGTCGCCCCTCTTCCCGTGTGTGACCCTGCCCTAGAGCCAGTAGATTATGGACTGAAACCTACAAACTGTGAACTAAGTAAACCTTTCCTCCCTTTAACTTTGGGCATTGGGTATTTTGTCTCAGGAACAAGGGGAAAGTAATTAAGACAGTAGGCAAACTTGAATCCAGATGGTCTGGCTCTATACAGAATGACTGGTTAAAATATAAAAATGTTGTACTTCTGCAAGTGTGGTTACAAGGAAGCCCTGGCCTAAATCAGATTTTGCTGTAAAAGTGTGGGTTCATTTTGAATTCTTCTACTACTTAACCAGTCAAATACTTTGGGTAAGTTGTTTAACTTCCCTGAGGCTTAACTGCCTTATGGGAACAACGGCCTCATAAACTCCTCATTGGAAGGGATCAGTGAGTTAGCATGAGAAAAGGAGAGAAATATTTGTAAACTCTTCAACATAGTGCCTATTACACCGAAACACACAAAAATGACAGGAACTACTATTAATATAAAAAATAGAGTTCTCACAGAATTAAAATGTAGCCTAGGGTAGCTACCTTAATGAGAGAGCACAATAATAGGAACATAACGATGTTTTCCTTGAAAGAATATTTTTTCATAGGCTCTGAGATAGTTTAACTCCAGTAGGTTACTAATATAACAGACTTGCAAATTTTTCCAAATATTTATATTTGTAGGGTAAGAACATGCTATTTTTTTCTTATAAATTGATACGTTCAGAGTGATTATTTTCTTGACAGGGAGACTGTCTCAAACGCCCATAAATGTGTTACTGCGTCAAGGAAACAAATTGAGGAAAAAATACAAAAATGCTGCTGACATTTTGCCATCACGTTTGTTCATTTCCTCTCCCTTCAAAGTCAATACATGTTTTAAAAATCCCACATCCATACGACTTGTGTACTTACTTCCGCCTTTCACTTGGAGACTCAATCTGATGGTTAATGCTTTTATCCAGAGAGAGGGTTTTTGGCTTCACATCTTCTAACACGTGCATTGGTGGGTTTGCTGCTTGCTGATTCTGGGATGGATCTGAGCCAAGTAAAGAACACAAACTTTGTACTCACTAAAGTCACCTTTATGCCTTGCTAGTCACCTTTCTTTACAGTGCTGCTGCCTGCTGAGGTCTCACAGCAGCTTCATGGAGGCTGTGGGCACCCAGTGGCTGGAGGGGCTGGTGCGTTCCCTGCACTGTGAATCCGTTCTGGGAGCAAAGGGATGTGGAACCAGGCTCTTTTGCCTCAGTGATATCTGATGTAACAGGAACAACACTCAAAGCACTGACTTTTTTTATTCATTAGAGAAAGCACATTTGAGTGGCTGCACTTATAACTTGGGGCATAAATTCTAAAACATAATAAACAAACACCATTGCTTCCTCTGACCCATGAGTTATACCAACTGTGATGTGGTTTAAATTCATAGGGCATCTATATAGAGATACGGGATACACAGGATATCTCTCTGTGGGACCATATGCAAGTGTATGCTTATGTATGATCATCAGTCCATATAAATGTATGAATAGAAAATGTGCTCAAAATACAAGGCCAAATTCATTAATTCCACCATTGAAAGTTTTTTTTTCTTTTTGCTTAGGCAAATTTGCCTTTGCCCCAAAACATTTATTATGGTTACCTTTTTATCCTTTTTGGGTAAGTTGTTTAACTTCCCTGAGGCTTAGTTTAGCTCACTCCTCTTTAATCCTTCTGACTTCAGACTAAGTCAAGAAGTATCTGCCAGCAGTAAATACTCTTGAAGCTTTCTTAGTAGTAAAAAAATTTAAAAATTATACAAATAAGGTAAAAAGACACACCAACATGAAATTAAAAATCAAAGGGGGTCCAAATGCAAAATCCTTGAGGCATTCATAGATCTGACACTGGAACTTTCAGTGGCATGCAGAATGTGACCTTTTTTAAAAACTAATTTTATTGGTGCGCTTTTGAAATACATAATGACTGCATTCATCATAAGGAACTTGTAACTGCACATCATAGATCTTGATTCTTTTTTTCCCATTCTCCTCCTTCCCTTCAACCCTGGCTCCCCTCCTTATTTACAAAAGCTTTTTTTCCTTTTTTTTTGACTTTTTGAGACAGGGTCTCACTATGCAATTCAGGCTGCCCTTGAGCTCACTTTGTAGCCCAGGCTGGTCTCGAACACGCAGCGATCCTCCTGCCTCAGCCTCCCAAGTGCTGGGATTACAGGCATGCGACACCACGCCCGGCTGCTTATTTACAAAAGCTTTGATTCCATTTTTTCCCTTCTATTCTCTCTTTTTTTCTTTTAGGAAAACCTCTGAATTTCATTGAGGGGACCTGGAGTATGAGGCACAGGTGAGAACAAGGGGTGCACGGGCAGGGAAGCTGTTAGGACTTCCTCCACCTCCTCCTGCATCTCCAGCTGGTGGTGTGGATTCTAAAGCTCCGAAAGCATTTTGTAGGGGGCTTAAGTGCAGTGGTGAAGTCAGGAAAATTGAGGAAGTCTCAAAATACACTGCTTATCACGGTTGAAGGTTTCTCTGTCAATATATGTAACACACACATATATACACATACAATACACACACACACACACACACACACACACACACACACACCCTGTTCAATCCTCATTGGGTCCTCAATCCTGAATGATACTATATCAGCTTTAGGTCATGATGGTAGGAGTTCATTCATTATATATTCAGCATAAAGTAGAGGTCCGGGGCCCTTAAGGAGAAGTAATTAGCCGAGGTCCTATCTATCTGGACAATACAGGGGCTTTACAATAATTTAAATCCAGGGCTTTGTCTTCTCCTTTCTTACCCTGAGCTAGCTGTGGGTTTGTCCCACAGGGTGGGGCCCCACTGTCTGTATCCAGCTGATGGTCCTGATGGATTCCTTTCGATGCGGAATTCTCAGAGGGAGCCCACGGCCCTTGCGATAGGCTGTTAAAATAAAGAAATGTATTTCAGAACTGAGACAAAAGCAGCTGGACTGAATTTATTGGTCCCATCACCTGGGGCACAGAAGTACCAGTTGTAATCTGAAAAAAAGAGATGAGACGGTTTACTTATTCATTTTATTTTAAAATAGGTTTAAAATATTGTAAAGACATTGTCATTTGGGATGTGCTGCCCGTCCACAAAGTGACTCATTCTAACTATGTCAAGGGATGCGGGAGCTAACCGGAAACTCCGTTTTCAAAGAGAAGGATTAGTACAGAAATCATCTGAGCCACACGGGACCTCGGTAGCCTGCGGTTATTCACTGGGCTCTCAGTAGCTTCTGTGTACAGGAAAGGAGAGATGAAGGAGACGCTGGTGACACAGAGGACATTTGGGAGAAGTAACAAATATGAAATGCCTGTATCAAGAACCAGAAAAAATGCACGAAAAATCCTTTTTGCATCATTGAAATCTTTCTGATCGGTAGTTTTGATTTCATAAAACTAGAAAGCCTCTGTTAATAGTGTTAACTGAAAACACATGTATTTATCCAAAGGCACGCCGTCTCTGGACACAGGCCCTTAGCTCCTAAAATTTGTATTTCACACAGCTTTCTAGCTGACAAGTCCCAGAGAATTCAGAGCAAAACCTCCCCAGCAAAGCTGAACTGCCAGCCAGTCCTAGGAATGCCACTTGGAAAGCCTTTCCTGCCTCTGGGATCCAGGGATGCTGTGTATGCACGCAGACACACGCACTCTTCCTAGGACCTATCTGCTCTCTCAGACCCCAGAGGCAAACATCTGTCTCAGAAGGAACACAGAGGAACGCCAACTGGGCATTCTGTGGTCCCTTCCAGGTCAGGCGTGCGTGGCATCAATAAGCCCATCATAGCCACGGCCACACCAGAGTCTGTTCCAATCTGAGCAACTCTGGGGGCATCAGGGTTACTGGCTTCTTTTTCTGATCTTCCACCTCATAGAACACGCTGGATCCATGGTGGGGGTGATGCCACGAACAACTAACCATTTAGCTCCGCTGTATATTATCACCCAGAGCAAATGTGGCTTCTCACAGCACAGGGGGAGTAACAGCCAGGCTCGGGTCCACAGTGGACCACAGTAGCTGAGACTCCAGGGTCTTGTTTCAGCCACTGTCCCTGCAAACACTGTCACCGTTTCAGGGAGTTGACTGACAACCCTTTGAGTGAACAACAGACTTCTCTGATGATCTATACTGTTTCTCCTTATTTAAAAACATTTTGCCTATTTAAAAATAGGGTTATTTATATTCAAGAGCATAAGGACACTGACTTCAGAGCTATTACAATATGTTCAAGTAATATGTAATGTATTACTGGAATGATCATTTCAAAGCTGAATATGATTTGCATTAGCAATGGCGAGTGGGCAGAGCTCGGCTTTGTGAATTTTCATGGACGGCCGGGTATGGGCTCATACCTGCCCTTCGCCTCCAGCGGATCACTCTCCTCAGTTTTATGCAGTATGTCATTATCATTCCCCTGGAATGGTTTCTTCTGTTTTCTTTCTCTTTCTTCCGCATGACAGTTTTCCAAGTCTGTCTTATTCTAAGGAGAAAACAAGGATAATCATATTCATATCTATGTTGTATTTTTCCAGTACTGAGGACTGAACCCAAGGCATTCACACTGAGCTACAACTCCAGCCCTTATTTTATTTTTTATTTTGAGACAGGGTCTTGCTAAATCACTAAATTGCCCAGCTGGGCTTGAACTTGCAATCCTCTGCCTCAGCTTCCCAGACTGCTTGTTTTATAGGCACGTGCCACCACTCCAGATTTAAATATAATTTTTAAATGTACCAGACAACGTTTATGTCTGGCCATTAAGTATCTGAAGCACTTTTCAATCACATTGCCTACAATGTAAAGAGCAGTCACACAAATTAATGGAACCTAATTGATTTCTAATTATTTGGAATAAATGTATAATTTGGACTCCTTTGTCTCTGAAGTTATGCCATAAAGGGAAGTGGGTAGAGTTTTTTTGTTTTTTGTCTTTGCTTTTATTTTTGGGGGGCAGGGGGGTGGAATTGAACTCATGACCTCATGCTTGCCAGGCAGGTGATGTGCAGCTGAGCTGTATCCCCAGTAGGAAAGTGGTTAGCAAATCCCCTTGTCAAAATAAAACCAACTCACAAGACTGCTTATTTTAAGACAAATGCTTGCCCTGGTGCCCATCTATACCCATTTTATTGGGTATAGCTTGTGGACTACGCAGGTCTTGGTGTGACCTCCTTTCAGTACCTCGAAGACCTCACTTGGGGGATATGGATGGAAGCAGCCTGTCTGGCTTCCTCTAGCCCTCAAAGACACGCCAATTCCACATGGAATTTTTGGGGATAGAGGCAGCCTTCCTGGAACTGGTGGAGAATATAACGCAAGTGTGTCTGCTGCTGCTGAACAGTGCAGGAGAAGGCCTGGCCTGGCAGAGAGGAACGAATGTCTGTGGAAGGAAGGAGCCATCCAGGAGCCAGGCAGTGAGCAGGACACTGCAGCACACGGCTCCACGAACCAGAGCCTGCCGGCCTGTCTGCTCCTTGTGGAGCAGTGGCAACACAGAGTGTACGATGCCATGCAGCACACGACAGGGTTCTGGGGGAAATGGCCGGGCCTGGTTTCCAACTATCCTGTTTGGAGGGGAAACCTGGCGTTGTGGTCTTATACTTCCATTTAGGTTTATTTCGTTCAGAGATTGCTTTCGAGTAATGGTCTCACCGCTGTCCCGCTGCCTTCAGTGACAGAGGAGGACGTAGACAGCTGGTCTGCAGAACTTGAAGAAATAGTAAATGGAACCACAGTGTCTTCAATTATTTTCCGCTCCTAGGGGAAGGACAGGAATCAATACAGGGGAAAATTATATTTATCAAGAGAAAAATTATATTAAGGAACTAAAGGGAAAAAATCAGAATGTGTGAAGAAGCAAGCATTTAAAAAGATCTATTTTTAAAGCATACAAATCACCCAATACTCTCCATGAGCAATGATTTCGAAATAAGCATTGACTGTAGAAAATTGAAGTCTGAATTCATCCGTGTGACTCTAAAAGCTTAGTTATGAAATGCTATTAGGGATCTGACTATGTACAAAGATTATTTTTGAAGACAACATTCACCATACTAACCATAAACAAATTTTAGATATCACACAAAATGTATCCAACCTTCAAATTCTGTAATGTGGTCTGGTTTGTTAATTAAAAAATAAAATGAAATAAAATTCTCCTCCCAATATCTCTTTAGTACTATATAGTCAATGTAGTAGTAAGGATATACTTATTTAACAAAACTACCCAAATTATCCTATAAAGTTAATTCATTTTTGCCAAACATGGCGGCTGTAAACAAGTTTAAAATAACACAAATGAACTGACTTCTTCATGTCATCTCTGTAGGATAGACCAAGAATCAGACTGTATTCAGAGGAAAGATATAATCATATTGTCTCCCTGACTACGGTTCAATACACCCTTGACACAACCATATTTAGGGGGATCATGGTCTTTTACAGCCAAGATGACACAGATCTTTTAAAGAGGTTGGTGTGGCTCTGCTGTGAGCAAAGACACATAAAGCCACATACATACACACGACAGAGGTACAAAGGTAGGGACAGTCTTTGAGGAGCTGGGACGACCTGGTCAAAGCCTTTGAGGGTTTCCTACCTCCTCGTAGTATCTGCGCTCTTCCTCTTCCACCTCCTTTTGGGCTCTTTCCCACTCTTCTTTCAGCTTGTCCTGCTCCTTCTGGTATCGCTCCTGTCCCAGAGTGTCCACAGATTGTTTAAAGTGATCCTTGCCTATATCAATGGGACTTTTTCCTGCTCTAAACCACCACGTCCCACCTGTGGCAAAATTTCTTCAAGTCTAATTAACTCGTGCCATAAAAGGGGATGCTATGGCGTGGTACTCAAACACTTCAGGAATGTAAAAATCCAATGGAGAGTAGTATTCTCCGCTGTGGGGCTTTGTAGAATTATTCTTTAGACTAAGAAATAGGAATCTGCTTGTGGAAAGAGAAAAGCTAAAAAAAATTCAACAATGCTCCTTAACTGCAATTCTGTTCTGCATAGGCTAAACTAACAGTTTGTTTCAACTGGGCCCTTCAGAGACGAGGTTTTGCCATTGCTGGGCTGGTGTAGCTCAGGGGTCGAGTTCTTGCTTAGCATGTGTAAGGCCACGGTTTCAATCCCCAGTCCCCTGATAACCTATCCCCAAAAAGAAAAGAAATACACTGTTGCCAAAGAGAGTTTAATAAAAGATTTAAAACCTTGTAGGTGTGTAAGACAGACACTACAATGAGATCTAAAGTTGATAAGGTGACAATTAGCTGAGTGGATAAATTATTCTTTGCTTTTCACCACTGTACCAAAACAAAGCCTTCCCAGCTTACAGTAACTTTCAAATTATAGCAGCTTTTTAAAAACCAGGACATACTAGTAATATAGAATAATGAAATTCATTTTGGCATACTGGTACATGCATTTTAAAAATTATTTTCATCCCCACTACTCCCTCTCCTCTCCCTTCCACCAATCCCCTTCCTCATCTTTAAGAAAACTGTTAAACACCCTTTAGAATGCTTCTGTATCAGAACTCCATCCTTATGTTCAGAAAGCACAGCAGCAGTCACCACTTTGGGGAGGAAAATAAAACACTTTGAATAAAGATGGCCCTGGTGAATATGCCTAGATTCCTGACAGCTGACTAAATGAAGTGAATGGGTGGAGATTAAAATGAATGAATGAAATGAAACCTGACACCAGGGAGTCTCGGCATCCTGACCTGACAGAGACAAAGGAATCACTGAAGCGGTGCACACCTTCAGTACCTGCGCTGATCACTGTAAATCCTCTCTTGGAGGCCAGAACAAGCCTGCGCATGTCTGTATAGGAAGGTATGGAGATTTCCCCCATGGATACCTGTTATATTATTATCTTAGGAGCAAGAGGACTTCACGGGAATATCTAGAGACTGGGGTTCTTATTAATGTTCTACCACAAGCACTATTGGTCAACCCATGGCACAGGTTCTTTGATACCAGGTAAAAACTTATTGTCAGAACTGAGTATTGTAGAGTTTTGGAGATGGACTTCAGGGGCTTTTTAGGATAGAGGAAATAGATCCCCCAAACTACAGAACATCTAAAAAACAGGGAAAGCTTTTCAGGCATATTGGGTCCAGAAACTCCCATTAATTGTCCCTGTCTCTCCTCACCAGGACAATGACCTGAGGGTGCAAGGACTGAGAGATGCAGCTTGTCCGTGACACACAGTACGAAACACACATGCAGGCCTCTCTTTCCAAAACCCATGATGCTACGCCAAGTAACCTGTCAGGGGGACTGGAGCAATACATGCCTGGTGCCTCGTCTGTAAGCATGGCCCCTTCAGAGCACCCTGAGGGGCTGTGCACTTGTTACCCCACAGAATTTGTGACTCCTGACTGCTGACCATTCAGCTGAAGAAGCACTTGATATTCAAAACAACAGCAGATGGTCAGGACTGGTCTAAAAGTCCTGATGGCTCTGGACTTGATGAATCAGGTTCTCACTAACATTTTGGTATTGAAGACCTAAACTTCTGCAGTTTTCAAATGTGCCAAACTTGATTGGCAGAGCTAAAGCCATGTTTCACTTGATTAACTAAACCATCCCTGATCCTTGGGAATTAGGCCAAAAGGATCAGAACAAAGAAAGAAAGAAAAAGTAAGTAAAATACGCTTGCGTTAAGTATTGCTTTCTACACAGCAGCAAAATGTCATCAACTTACTGAGAACTAACATTCTTCTCTTTCATGATTCTTTGGTAACTCCTGTAACTATTAAGAGTAGAATGAAAAGAACCCGGGCTTTATAGTCATTCAGACCTGGATCTGAATCCAAGCTCAATACCTGTCAGCTCTATGACTTTGGGCAATTAATTTAATTTCTATGAGCTTTAATTTCTTTAATTGTAAATGGGATGAAAAGGACATACTTTGACGGTTTGTATGCAGGTTAAATTAAATATGTCAAGCACCAAACAAAGCTCCCGGCACATGACTACTCAATATAGATTAGTTTCTCAGTTTACTAGTCGCTTTTGGAAGCCCCAATAATCCATGAAACAAATAGAAGGCAGAACAAATTTGCTCTCAGGATGTTTCCAGAATTGCTAATGAACAGCTTTTATTCAAAGACAGAGCGAACGTTTCTACTTGAGGAACTGAACCTGTAGGAGTGCCTGGGGCCCCCAGACAGGGTTCAATGCAAGACCGGGCTGTTTAAGAAGTTGAGGAAACATGACTTCTGTGTCACCATAAGCAACTGAGCTGACAGCAGGCAGTTTCACATTTCGGTGGCAATGCTATCGAAATCCAGATGGTCCTACAGATGAAACCCACCGTGGAGCTACCAGCTTCCTTCCTTCAGCCACCTGGATCATCCCTTCTTAGCCAGTCCGCTGCCCTTCATATTGCCCCAACCAGCCAGAGAAATCCCCCATACTACGGAAGTAGGATGACTGAGTCAGAGGAGGGAATGTAAGGGCAGATTAGAGAAACAGAAACAAAACCCTAGGACAAAACCCAGACGACTAACATTGTAAGATCATCACAAGCTTATCTGCGGCTGACGACTGTATCCATGGCTGACGATTGTAAAATCATCACACGCTTATCTGTGTACCATGTACTTGAGAAAACATATCCTCCTGTATCCTTATGGAAATGTTACACTTATTGAGTGCTGACCTTGTCCCCTTCCCAGAAACAAAGGCTAAGACCCTGATTGGCCTAGCCCATAGCAATCAACAAAACAGTTTTACCGCTGTAAGCATGGGTACATCTCATACTCACCGGGCATCCTGAGCAGGATGCCCCTTATCTTGTCGCACCACTCTGCTGCCAAGATAGCTCTCCTGCTCTCTCTGCATTTGCCACACTTTAAATAAACTTCTGCTTTGCACAGTGTCAGTCTGACTCCCCTATTCTGTGCTAAGAGCCCCACTTCATCATTCTTCACCAATGAAGGCAAGATCCCGAAGAGAGATGGAGGGTCATTACGTGGACCCAACCCCCTGCCAGACACAATAAAGTGAGGCCTAATTTTGTGTGCTATTAAACAGCTTTCAGCTAATTCATTCTCACTGTCACTTGGGCTGGAAATTGGTGGGTAAAGAGGTGCTGAGTGGGTAAACTGACTCTTAATCAATACTGGGAGTTTTCTGAAGTGTTAATGTGAACAGTTTTTCCTCTTACTCATCACTGTACTTTCTGGGAGGAAGAGTCAGATGCAGAATACTCTGAACACAAAATGAATGGACAAATCCCATTTCCTGTGCTAAAAATCTATGTAATACAACAGAAACTAGCAGCACCTCATCTAAAAGAAAGGGGAGGAAGAGCAGCAAATCCAGTCCTACCTGAAGCAAACGCTCCTGCTCCTGCTGCCATTTTTCCTGTCGCCGCCGTTCCTCTTCTGGGTCCCAGGCCCAGAACTTAAACTGCTCAGAAAAATAAAACCATGATTAGAATTGAGCCATACCCTCAAGGACAGGGCAGGAAAGACAAGACAATTAGCCTTCAGCTTGGCACCAGACGGACACACAAAAGCCTTCAGGTATCTTACTGTCCTCACTGGTGAAACAAGCCTCCTCTCCTCCCAGCACTGGGGATTGAACTGAGGGCCTCTGCACTTCCCCCAGCCCTTCTTTTAAATTTTATTTTGAGACAAGATCTTGCCAAATCCCTAAGGTGCCCAGGCTGGGCTTGAACTTTTGACCCTCCTGCATCAGTTTCCCAGGGTTCTGGGAATACAGGTATGAGCCACTGTGCCCAGCATCAGAACATTTAAAAAATCTTATTCCTTCTGTAGTTTACCCCCAAGATGCTGGCATGATTCTGTGAGCTCTTTGGAAGCTAATGAAACATGTAGTAATTAGCCACAGAAATGGGAAGGCTTTGCTTCATTTTTGTTAAAGTGATAACTTGATTGCATTCAGGCACCTGAACACAGTCTGTTCATTCTGGGTAATGATCCTAGATCCAAGCCAATAGAAGCCATTGTTTGAGCAGAAACACATTTTGTAAGAAGGGGTGTGTGCTGCTCTATGCAGCTAATTCTTTGTATTCTGTTGCTTTTCCACACCAGTGTTCCTTAAATTGGGTTAACTCACCATTGCCCACCTATACTATCCAGGATCCAGGCAAAACTCAAACCCAAAGACTTTTAAAACAATCTTAATAGAAAGAAAGAAAAAGAAAGAAAGAGGCACCTACATTGAACATATACGGACATTTCTTATTATTCCTTAACCAATATAGATAACAACCACTTACAGCATTCGTACTGCATTAAGTATTATAATTAATCTAGAGATGATTTCAAGTATATGAGAAGATGTGTGAGGGGTTATACGCAAATACTATACTGGGGCATCCAAGGATTTTGGTGTCAGCAGGAGTCTTGGATCCCATCTCCGTGGACATTGAGGCATAGGCGTAGTGAGAGAAGGTACACAGACTAGCCTACGTTCCACCCTGCCCTAGCCCTAGGAGATCTCCACCGCCACTCAGGTGCACAGTGCCCAGGTAGCCCAGTGATGTGTCTCCAGGCAGAGAATGCAGGCCAGGCCATGGGTAATGCTGAATTTATAACTACGAACATTTATCACTTTAATACCACATTTAGCCAAATGATACGTGGCTTCATTTTGTACTCTTGCTGTGGTTCTTGCAAATGGATGAACTGGCCATGACATTCACAGAATGTAAAGAAAAGCAGGAAAACAAGACAGGGAACACATGTCCTATCTTCACTCTTGAGATTCACACTGCACATTTGTGTACTACATACTATGGCAAATTATGCAGGAGGGAAGAGTACTTATTGTATATAAACCAGATTTGCTTGGAGACCATAAAATGCTATCCAAATGTAAGTCCCAGATGGGAAATTCTACTGGACTTTCATAACAGTCAAGGTTGACTCCATCCCCACTCCCACATTCTCCTAGGACTTGAAGGTCATTTAAATATTGACAACCTCTCAAAGGGACATAGTCCTCCTTTGTGGGAAAGGGGTGGGTGTTCACGTGAATAAAGCCATAAGGACAAAAGTCCAATAGATGGGAAATAAGAGAAACAATTAGGAACTATGCAATGCTCAGGTAAACTCCAGGTGGTAATCTCAAGAGTAAGTCAATAAGGAAGAGAAAGCAGCATAGGACAGAGGGGTCTGCACGGAAAACAGTCTATTCACTGGACAGAGAGAAAGACAGAGAGAGAGACAAACACACAGACAGAGATGGACAGAGGCAGAGAAAGAGGGGCAGAGAGAGAGGATGATTAGGTGTTTTCAAAGACAATAAAGAAGACAACACCAGCATAATAAACAAGAGGGGAAAACAGCGACTTCGAAGTTCCTTCCTTTGGTGATGATTTGTGGATTTGGTGATTATTCACAATGGGCTGAGGATGGGCTGGGGGTGTACCGGTGGCCAAGAGAAGATGGGGGAGTGGCCGTGCATAACGGAGCAGCAGAAGACTGTGTGATAATTGTCCTTGCGGACAGACGCAAGGTGCCAGAAGTTGGACTGGAGAGCACATAGCCCACATTGTTCCCCACTCCAGCCGCTGTAGGTCTGTATCTTCTCCTGGCTCTGGATTCCTCAAGGGCAGGGATGGCTCTTACCCCTCTAAGTATCCCAAACCTTGTGTGTTAGGCCCTGGATAAGTGTTTGTTGAGTAAGCGGTGGAATCACTTCATGCTGGGTGATGCTAGTCCTGCCTTCCCAGTCCTGCGGCCACTGCAAAGTTGACCGAAAATAGCCAGTCTACCGAGCTGACCAGAATCTCATGCTTACTTCCTCTTCAAACTGTACTTACTCTCAAGTTTCTTTTATTTTTCTGTCCTATGAGGAGCCATTTCCTACTGAAAGAACGTCAAATGTGTGGGGTAGCGGTATTTTCAGAGAACTTACTTATACAGGTCAGTAATGTCTCTTTCTGGTCGGATTTTCCATAAACCAGAAATGATAACGTATGCCTTTGGGGTCCTCTTCTGCTCTACCCCCATCTAGGGGGCACAGGAACAATGTGACATCCTTGTTTGAAATGCAATTTAAAAGGAATCGAGGGGTTATGTCACACTCTTCAGGTCTGTGCCATGAAAGCCAACCTTGAGATCCTTCTGGGGGTCTCACCCACACTAGAAGGATACCACTTTCCCACTAACTCAGGATTCCTTGCATTGCCTTATGGCTGAACCTCCACAATGGTCCTTAGTTCGGGACGGTAGCTGGAAGGTCGAGGGTTTTGTGGCAAATAATGGGTCCCTTTTCCACTTTGCATGGCACTTAGGGATTCCCAAAGTGAGACAATTTGCTTTTAGATAAGAACTGACACTGGCTATGGTGGGCCTCTTGGATTAGCCCCTGGAGAGGGATGATTTGATCCTATGTCAGGAACTATGCTAGAGGATTCTGATTATTCTGTGTAATTATTTCAACTGAGGCTCACAACAGCCCTGAAAAAAACCCTATTATTATTTCCTTGTACAATCAACGATGATGGGGTACAGAGAAGCTACACAGTATCTTCAGGGCATAGGGCTAGCAATTCTGGAATCAAAGCTGCAACTGTGATTACATGGCTGCCCCCAGGTGGCTCGAGGGCAGTGCTGCAGCTGCTTGTGTCAGGAGGACAGAAGTCTCCAAACCTGCAGGGAATTTCAGAGGATGAGCAAGGCCTAACAGGTTCAGCATTGGAAACACCAGTTCAGAGGATTCAGATATAATTCAGCAGCATGGGATTTCCACAGTGTCATGTGCCCTGATATTTTCATCACCAAATGCTGTCTTATTTTATTTAAATAAAAAATAGAAAGCAATACATACAAACAATATAATTCAGAATACTGACTGTCACAAGAGGCATGACAAAGTCGCTGTGGATCTCCCAGAAAAACTCCAGGCTGTGTCCCATCTACCAACACAAGACATTGAAGTGTTTTTCTTATTTTAAAAAATGATTTTGAATGTCTACTAGTTCTACCACATTCACTTTAAGTGCTTCCTTTATACTTTATTTCCAAGATCATTTTATTTCCAGGGATGATAACTCCACATAATGATAGTCTAGGCCCTTATAATTTGCAGGACTTTATTCTTCTCAAATCAACTGTTTGGATCTCATTTTTGGTTGAATATGCTTTAAGAAAATTAAATACATTATAAACTAAAATCGCACAAATGAATGTCCTCCTCCTTAAAATGAGTTACTTACAGGCGTAGTTAGAGGAGATTTTTCACTGTTTGGAGAATCCGCTACACAAAATAAAAGAAAGAAAAAAGATAATGTTAGCAGCTCCTAATTGTCTTTCTTTTTTATTCTCCCAGCACATTGTAGTTCGTATGTCAGCTTCAAACCAATTCTTTTTCTTTTCTTTTGCTTTGCTTTTGGTAAATCAAGAGCATTGGTTATAACAAAGCAGACCCCTGAAGCAAGTTGTACCCATCACCAAAAGAAGTTATGGCCAGGGTAAATGATTGACTGCATCCATTAGCACCAGGTACTAGACTACAGGAAGCAACAACTATTCCTATGGCTGCTGGTTCTCAATGTCCCCCGTGTTCTGCTTGACTGAGCAGTTCCCTCACTGTCTACACGAAGGAGTATCACACAGAGAGGCCAGATGTCATCCAGGAAAGAGAGAGAGAGCCACACAGTTAACAAGAGAACCATGACCAATTTCTGGCAAAAGCTTCTAATCTTTGTTTTAAAAAGGAGGAAGGGACAATAAAGAAAGAGGCAATTAATATTGTTTCTTTGGATCCTCAAAAATCAACATAAAATTCTATGAATTTCCTCCAATTTAGTGTAACTGGTACTAATATCAAGAAAATTATGGTAGCTCTTTGCTAACTGTGTGTCGGGTACAAGCATTTTTTTTCCCTTGAAATCAGAAACAAAGACAAATGCCAGACATCATTGGTTGCCCCAACACGGATTTTTGCACAGAAGAAATGCAGCTACCCAGTATATAGTTTACCTGACTGGGAGAAAAACTGGGAACGTCGCCAAGAGTTCTGAACTCTAAGCGGAACACTGGCTGTGCCAGGCGACTCTAGATCAGATGGCAGAACAGAACAAACAGAACACCATGAAACCAGGGTGAAAACTGAACAGAACTATGTCCCCCACATATTAAAGAAGGCCTGGGCGTAATCGACACAAGAATCAAGAGCCAGTGGATCTAATGTACCAAGTGTTTTACTAGTACATGCGCACACAACCCAAAGACACAAACACAGGTCAACAGAACAAGGACAGTTTACGCACCGTTTATCTTTGTGGGTATTGGTGAAGTTCTACAGGCTCAGACTTACTGGGGACAGTGTTTAAATGTCAAATCAATCTCAATATGTTATTAAGAGCAAAGTGCACAGTTCCCATTGCTTTTGGCGAACACTAGTCAAGTGCAAAAGGTATCAGAGATGAGTGGTTTAATTATTACTTTATACATTATACTTTACGAAGGTTATGTGCGGAAGTCTGTGCCTGCTTTTCTTCTATATACAAAAAGGGAAGCTCTGTGTCTGTATGTGGTACATCGAATGCACAGAGATACTGCCAAGCACTCACATCCTTAAATTCTATGCATGCTGGGGCTGGGGATTTAGCTCAGCGGCAAAGTGCCTGCCTGGCAAGTGCAAGGTCGTGAGTTCGGTTCCCGGTACCGGAGAAAAAC